TTGGGCAAATAAATATGTTCTAGATATAAATATACTACATAGAGCTTGAATGACTTGAAATATATAAAAAAGACTACTGGGTTATAAAATTATGCCAGAACTTCCTTTTTGCTCCTACTGAACTAATAAAAGCAATGTCGTATAATTTTTTTTTTAAAAAAAAAAAAAAATCCTTACTAGTTAATGGATAGAAAAAGTTATATTTTTTTTTTTGCCAATAACCAGTTATAAAAATTTAAATATCAGAAAATTAGCAAGTTGAATTAGGAGACACTAGTGTTCTATTCACTTTATTAACTAGAAATTTCATTAAAAGTGAAACTCTTGTTTATTTTATAAAACAATATAAAGATTTTTCTTTAGACTGATGATTCTTTTTTAAATCTTTACATAAATTACAAAATCCATAGCATAGCCATTTTTGTGAGGTGGGCATGAACTTCCTATATACATTGCTCTTGCACAATAGGTTTTTTCCAAACTATCGTACTGATACCAGCCCGCATTTTTGACATTTTCAAAATGAACATCAGCAACATGATGATTATCATTACAAAAGGAAGCCCCCATAAGATAGTATCTATAAAAAAAAAAAAAATGTAAAGCCCATACCATATAGTGTAAGGCAGAAAAATGTCTCAGAACACATGACCACCTATCTTTTACGACCCTACCTACCATATAATCATTTGTGTGTCTAATTTTTTACTCTACTAAACATTAAAGTAAAAAAATTATCAGCTACACAAACTATTATATAGTAAGTAGAGTCAGAAAAGATCAGTGGTCACATGTTTTGTGACTTTGCTGCTTTAAACATAGTAAGCAGAGTTGGAATTAAGATTTATCTTTGTTTTATATTTGCGTCTTCTGAAGAAAAACTGATTTCTTCCAGAAGGTCTTTATATTCAAGATAAAATCCTTCATCAGTAATATTAATTACTGCAATATTTACTACAAGATTCAAAGGTAAACATTGGTCGATTTGCCTTGTCGAAGTAGCTTTACCAGAACATAGGTACAAATGCCTAAATATATATATATATATATAAATATATATATGTATACAGTATATTAAAAAGTAAGTAGAAAAAAAGTAAAAATCTAAACTCTTCCCATAGATCACTTTACCAAATTAGAAACAAGAAGAAAAAACTTTCCCGCGACATTTTCTCCAATATCTATTAAGTAACCCAATGTTCAGCTTCTAAATAAAGTTACTCAGCACCCCAAGAACAACCTAAAAGAGGTGCAATTTTTGCCAAAAGACCTTTCCTGGATAAGCCACCAGCAATAAACATGCTAAATAGCAAAAAAACAGTTTTTCAATCCCCCCGCAAAAGCGGTCCTATGGACCCTCAGTTTC